ACGTAGAATTAAGGCAGTTCTGAAGGCGAAAGGGGGTCAAACACCGTATTAGTATGGTGTTCCTAATAATCCTTTAGGTGAGTGTATAACTTGACCCATTTGGTATGTCACTACATAGGGGAAATGGTGCTGGTAAAAGCCCTGGGCAACACTGTACTTTTTAGATTTAATGAAGGCAAGCTTGCTGAAGCAGGTTAATGAAGGCAAGCTTGCTGAAGCAGGTACTTTTGTAGGGCTGTTACACTTCTTAAGTAAAACACCTTTGTTGCACTTTAAACTGTGCAAACACAATCAGTTACTATAATTTTTATATAACATAATTATATTATGTCGTTTAAAAAATATATTGCCAAGGAACACATAATGTAAGAAAGCTATGCAAAGTTACTGACATGTTTTGAAAGCTCAGTGAATGGTAAACAAAGTTTGTATCTATTTGCCAAGATTTAAATCATGTTTCTCTCCAAAGCTCCCATACTCCTATTGTATCTCTTGTCTTTGAAAACATTCTGTGGGAAGATATAATAAAAAAACTGCTGTAAAGAGTTTAAATCACTCAAAGAAGACCATTAAACACATTGGATGCAATTATTCCATTATTCTCCTTGGCTGATAGCTGGAGCTATAGTTGAACTAGTTTGGAAAATGGAAAACGAACAGACGCTAATTTCTCTTTTCAGTAAATTTTGAGAAAGCTCTTTAAGCCGTTTCATCATCAAATAAGTCACTACTAATTACAAAACGTATTCACACTTTACAAAGTTTACACTGGGTTAGAATGAAGTAAAATCTAAACTTATTTTTAAAATGATCATTGTCATCTTTATGTGACATTCAGCTTTGGCTCTACCAGAATATTCTTAATGCAGAACAAAATGTTAATTATGCATAATTGTGATCAGCTTAAGCCCTGTTAATTTAATATAATATGAACACAGGTTCCATGTGTATTATACATGTGCCATTTGAAGGGTCCTTCACATTTGTCATGATGCACTTTACAGTTATATTATTAACAATATTCTTAAGGAAACCTAGATTATTAAATCAATGACATTTGACAGTATTTCTCAAATTGATCCAGCAATATTCTAACCTGCTTTTCAATCTTCTTGAAATGTGTTTATCAGTGGAACTTTTTAAGCAAATTAAACCATGACTTAAAATGTGTTTATTAACTTGTACAAGTATTAGGTTCCATAATGTCTGTCTCACACAGATGTTTTAAAACTTCCCAGTCTTTACTTCGACAGGACAATAGCCGACATTTGATTGAATAGGTTTGTATATTTGCCATATTGTCTGTCTGCAGAAGGTCATTGAGTTTTTACAATCCATAAAATTCATACTTCCTTATTTTTGGCTACTGTTGGTTTTCCTGTTTAACACTGCATTACAAGTATGGATTTTTCCACTTCAGCCATTCTAGGGGGAAAAATAAATCCCCCAAATACCTCGATTCCTCCACCACTGCCGAGTCTCTGAAGTAATGAACAATTAAAAGATAGCAGACAGAAAACAATAGATCAGGAATG